TGTTGATAGTGTTCAATAGAAAATAGTGTCACTAGCGCCCCCTTCATTTCCGGAATGCAATAGTCCCATTTCCATATAAGGTATGGGACTGACGGAAAGGTCCGTCACCGCCCCGTTCTGCATGCTGCAGCGAAGTGTACTTGCCTGAAAGCGCGGTTGGAACCGGAGATGGAGACATGTTTGGCTGAGGAGAACCTCATACAGGCACAGAGACTGGGCTTAAAATGGACTAAACTAAACACAACACACCACACCAGGGCTATTAGCCCATAGTCCACCAATGTACCCTCCCCTCTTCTCAACTCCTGTGGCCCCCAGATCGATTTTATTGAATAGACTACATCCTAACTCTAAAATCCAAACATGCTAAATATCACAAATTTCATTCTGTGCAGGATAGTGGCTCCGAGGACCAGGACTGTCCAGGACTGTCCAGGACTTGGACACCACTGTTTTAAAACAATCGTCATTGACGAAGTCACGAGCTGTCAAATAAAAAAAGTTCATTGAACGGTTAACAACTCGCAGAKACATTTGTCTCATTTATTCTGATCAGCGCTCAGAGAGCAGAAAGCCAGGACTCCACATGTGTGCTGGTTCTGGTCCGTGTTTGTTGTTTGTTTTTTTTCCTGTGCTGTGATGTGACTGAGATAAATGTCGTGTCCCTAAAGGTTAATTTTTCCGAGCCACATGAAAACGATTTGCGAAGAATAAKTTTGTTTATTAGATACAGTTTATTTTTTATGTGGTTTTCTCGTCGCTGTTTACTGAACAAACATCTTTCTGACAGCTGAAACAAATTGGTCTGTCATAATTTATCCAAGAGGAAATTTAATCATTTCATAATCCATTTTGCCCCCGCAAATAGAACACGGTTAACGTCAAACACAGTTGTTCTGCTTATAAATCTAATTTATATCATTTTAATCAGCTCCTTTTTACTGCTGGGACGTAATATTTTAAGTCCTGATTATTAATATTTACTACTACAACCATGYGGGGGCTAGATGTGGTGGCACATCAAAACAAAAAGTTATAGCATAATTTCAAGGAATATTAGTTTATAKTTAAAACCAGATAAAATTAGCTAAACTCTTGATTCAAGTGCAGTTTTTGCTGAGTTTGGGACCACGCACGCTACACTCTTGCTATTTTTTTTCTTTGCTTCACATTGATTTCAAAATAAAGATAGCTTTAATGAAACTTACATGTTTTGCACCTTTTTGTTGTAAGGACAGGACCTAATTAGARTGAACCACTCACTTTTATGTTTATCTCAGCGTTTCATTTTTATGCCACAGTTCAGCTTTATTTGCTAAATTGTTGAGTTGATGTTTAAGTAAAAACATTATCCTTTGTCATTCMACAGCAGGTAATTAAAAACACAAACCACTATTATATTTTTAACAGRAGGAACAAACTGAGAAATCGTCTTAAACTTAAACTTCATCTGCGTTGCCTTGAAAATCACAACTTTCAGTACTTTTATTGCTTTCGGTACTTCTGTCCTTACATCACCCACATCTCTTCCTCCCCCACCAGGTGAGCTCCTACCCGGTTCCCATCTTGCTGATGAAGACGAGCCGGACCTCCTGCTGGTCTCGGGGTTCAGATTTCTCTCTCCACTCTGCCCACCAGGGAGGGCTGTTTCCGCTCACTGCAGGCGACCGGCTGTTCGTGACTGTGACCAACGCCTCCGCTGTGGACATGGACGAGAAGAGCAGCTTCTTTGGAGCGTTTCTCGTCAGCTAGASTCGAGGATGTTGATGTGGGGAAACTGAATGTTTTTATCTTTTTTTTTCTTTTAATTTTAAATAGAAAACATCAAACTGCTGCAGCATTCTAGACTTTTCTGGGACCAAAAGCTGAAGACTTTTGACACTGGTTCCAGGGATCTGTCATTTATCAGAGCAAATCTAACCTAACAGACTTTTGGGTTCAGGTGTGTAAAAAATGAAAACGGATGTCAGTTTTTACAAATGTTATTTTTAGTTGATGACGTACTTTYAAAGGCCTCCAAAGCAATCTGGACTGCAGCTTGGGTTCCTTTAAACTTCATCCCTAAATGCCAGAAAGGTTCAGGTGCATCTTGATTTAAATATGTGTGTATTTTTTTTTATTTGTAAGCTTTGATGCAACTATGCATTAAAATTCAGACAAACAAAATAAACACAGTTACAGCATCAAATTATGATTTAAATCTTAAAAAAAATACTCAAAAACTGATGCATGAATGTATGACAACTGACCACTTGAGGGTGCTGTTTTGTTATCCCGCCTTAATTTCTGTGACAGAAGAAAAACGACCAACTAGAATTTAAAAATTAAGCCTGTGTCTCACTGGGKGCCAAATTTGCGAGTGAGTTTTCAAAATCTTCTATTTTCTCGCATGATTCACGAGAATTTTGTTCAAAAAATATTTTCAAAACAAGTTTTCTTTCCAAAAAGTCAAGAGTTGCTGAAGGCATTTGGAACCTGCGGTGTGGGATGGGTGAAAACGTGCAGCAACGTCGTTTTTCTGAAAACTCATGTCTGTGCGGGACGTGACCGGCTCCATCGGTCAGAGGCAGGACAAAGACGGACTGTGGCCCTTTCGCTCAACTGTTTTGTGAAAGAGTCGGAGACTGAAAATTTACATACATTTTTTTTTTTTTTACAGTTTTTAAGTCTCCAAATAATCGCTGATGTGTTAAAAATATTACAGCTGACCACCAGAGGGCGCTGTTTCATTCTGCCACCTAAAGGGAAACATGAACATCTGCAGTTTATAGTGACTTTAAATCCACTCATTAAAACTTTGGTTAAATCTTTGGATTTATGTTTGTTGTAAGATGTACATATTGAGCTGTCTTTTGTGTATTTTTATTTTTTCATTGATTAAACACTTTGTGAAAGCACTGCTACCAATGCAAGCTCTWATAAACTGAACTGTCAGCTTTTGATGACAAGATGATAAAATTTCTTACATCTTGGGGTTTAGAGTCAAATTTAAGACCCTGCTGCTTACAAATCAGACTTTATGGTATGTTTTTGTTGGAAGGGACTCAGCAGTCTCTCCCTCTGGCTCATATCCTGCAGCTTTTCTCCAAGTGGTGCATTGAYCTCCCTAACGGCTGGTATTCATGTTGTGTTGGATTAACTGTAGAAAAGACTCACGTACTTGGAAAACCAATCGTTCATCTGCCTGCGAACAGCAGAAATTTATTTTCTTGCCTTGGCAGCCAGTTGTCCTCCATGGAGTGATTAATTGGTGCAGTGAGTGCAGCCACAAACCCACAAATGTTAAGAAAAAAGATCTAAATGATTTCTTAATTGTGTAAAGTTGCAAGTAGATCTTATTGAGTTACATCTTTGATTTCTTAAAAACAAAATAAAAGCATCGCATTAAAAAAATCACTTTTAAAATCAAGACTAAAGTTAACCACTGTCTGATCACAGATAAATCACTGGCCTTCTCTTATATTTAATGATTGTGACTTTTAGTTACAGTCTCAGTTTTTTTCTTTAAATCTGTTATACCTTAAAAAACAGACCTGGTGTTAAATGGAAAAGAGTGTCTTTAAAATAAAAGTGTCTTATTTTGACCTGGTTGAAATTAGTGAATACAAAATGGACTAAAACACAAACAAGAGTTAAATGTGATCCAAATACATTTTTTATCTTTTGGCTTTTGGGGAAAAAAAAACACAACTGAATTCTAATTAGATTGTTTWAAAAAGTTTATTTTAAAAATCTGATTTGTTTGACTGATAGAAAACTCCAGAATGTGAATGTACATAAATGTGTTTATGTAAAAATGTGAAATAAAGACACTGCAGAAAATTGCAGATTGCACATTTGTTTGCTAGTAGCTSTGAGAATGTTAGTTTCAGACTGTTTTATTCTCAATAATGATGGATGGATGGATCTGTGTGCAAATATTGGGGGTCTGCCAGCATCCAATAGCAGCTATACTTAGCACAAAAGTAAGGAAATGTGTGTTTGGTGGACTATTTCTTTGTTGTAACAATGCTTCTTGGTAATATGTCTTTTGGCAGCACCTGGGGGGACCAGAAGCTGTTTGACAGAGAAAATTTGGSTAATTTCTCTTGAGAACAAACCTCATACTRAGCTCTACTGCTCAATCCCACAAATGCATGTTCCTTACAAAAGTGGCACCATTTAAAAGGGCAATTACCAGACTTTCCAGTGGTATTAGATTGGTTGCCATCTCCACAGCTGAGAGTGCAGCGCAGCAGGTAGAAGCTGTAAGACCTACCAGCCCCGAGACAAAACGTGTGCAGCATCTCATCACAGACATGAGAGAACCTCAGCTTCTGCTGGATCATCAGGGGTTTATGTCCCTTCAGGGTCTTGTCCAGCTTCTCGTCCACAATGACTTGTATCTCTGATTATTCCCTTATCGTTTTATTTTAACATAATAAAGCACAGAATCATCCTTAAGAGATGCAAAGAGGCATTGTTATATATAATAATTCCATGTGGGGGGATCTTTTTAAATACTGCACCACTAACYTGTCATTTTGTTATAAAACAAAGATGTGTTGTCAGAGAGTTAGCTTAGAATCTATACTGTGATAATCTGCCATGTTTCATATCTGGTTTAGTGAGATATGAAAAAAACATGTAAGTAGATGAAGTATATATTTTTTTCGAAATGAAAAATAACTAAACTTACTAATTAAAACACTTAGAAGGTTAAAAACAGTGATTTATATCAAAGAAGGCCTGATCTAGTGTTTTAAGTAGAAACATACTCGWAATTGAAACAAAAATAATAATTATGCATTAATGTAAATATACTGTTTAATATCATTAAAGTGAAACTTAAATTTTAGGTGCAAAAATGCTGAATTAAATAAGCAAATTATGCCCCCTGCTGGTGCTTTTTTTTAAAAAACACCACAACACTGAAGTCCAACACTGCCCTCTAGTGTTCATTAATTGTACAAATTCTAAATAATCTGATAAATATGAAAATAAACAACAGCACACGTTAAGATTTTGATTTTTTTCTTTTTTGTGGAAATATGTTACAATTATATTACAGGTATTTAAATGCCCAGAGGGAGAACAACAACAATAACAAAAATAACAGTTTGGAGACAGCAGAAAGTAACAAGAAAAAGATGCAAACTTGAGTGAGACTGTTTCAGACTGACGGTCTGATGGGATCCACAAACTCACCAGGAAGAACCAGCGGATCCCCGTGTTAGCAGACGTCCAATAAATACTGCRGATGTTGTGGATGCAACTGAATACAAACAAAAGCAGGAACAAAAGACAAGGAAAACAGGAGCACTCCTCCTCCTCTGAGCTCTTCCTGGTAATTAGCAGCACACGTGTAGCTTCCAGAAACAACGAGATCTCYTCAGAAACAACGAGATCTCGTCAGAAACAACATGCAGCATCTGCAGTCAACCAGAGTTTTTAAACACACAAAAGAGCAGATCAGAAATACGGTGGCTTCAAGCTGAGTGTGACCGATGTGAGAAAGTGCTTCACACACACACAAATGCTAAAGACGAGCAACTCTGACATACAAACAAAGCAAACCAGGGATAGTTTAGTTGTCAGGCCACTGTGGCTGGCTGACTCAGAATTCACAATTTTACTGGTTAAATACACGTTTGTTTTAAGTATACAACAGCTTAGAGTAATATTTAGTAGTTTCAGTGGCTCACACAGTAAACATTCAACAGACATAATCAAACCTTGGCTGGTGTTAAAATTCACATCCTCGTTCGAAAAGTTGTAAGAAAGTATTTGTAGCTGAAGTTTAAATAATGCTTCAGTCCTGGTGGTTGAGCGAAGCTGACGACACAGCGTCTACCCTTTAAAAGTGTGAAAACCGTCTGGTTGAATGCAGATTCCATCTTTAATTATTGGAACTTATAAAACTCTGTCATCAATGGAAACCGAGGAGTCCCCGTAAAAAAAGTTTTACTATAAATTACACCAGTCCGATGATGATGTCACTGCTGTCCCTCACCAACACTCTGACACGCACACACAGAGGCATGACCTTGGTTAGCTCGCCTGACTTAGCTACACAACACGCTCTACAGATCTCCACCCACAGTAGAACAACAGGAAACCATCTCTGCTGAAATGAAACCTCTGCAGTGACGCTACGTCTCTTCTTCTCTGGACCACAAGCATCGTGCAGTTTGGGACGACGGACGAAAGGCCGTCCCGTCGACCCGTCCCTGTAGCTGCCGCGCTCTGGCTCCACCCCTGCAGGTCGACTCCGTGGTAACGCCGGGTGGGCGTGGCTTGGAATGTGCCGATGAACTGACCGGAGGAGGAYGAGGAGGAGGAAGGAAGGGAGCTCAACAGTCGAACCGCATTTCCAGTGACTCTTCGAAGCTCCTGTTGTCGTGCCCCGCCCCCGACAGGAAGGCGGCCGAGACGGGCGCGCCCGTCGCCGTGGTGACGTTGAGGAGGGTGCCGCCCGGGGAGCTGCTGGCGGGACTACGAAGGGCCGCCGCGGTGATACTGGTGAGATTGATGCCCAGCGTGAGGCGGGTCTGTTCCAGAGCCTTCTCTGGCACGGCGAAGGCCTCCAGCTTCTTCTCGCCGTTGGCCATGTAAGAGTTCTGGCAGCCGCGGCAGATGCAGTCCAGACAGGCCTGCAAACAGATGTGTTAGAGTCGTCTTCAAAGAACTGAGCAGGACGTCAGCATAAATCCACAGGTCTATACAGTACGTGAAAAAATAACTAAGTAAAAGTAAGAAATAAACTGTAGAATTTCCTGAACCCCTTAACAGTCTTTGTTCCACCGGTGGACAAAAAGGTGCGGCTTCTGCCTTTAAATGTTTCCAGACACTACCAGGGACTTTTATTTTGAAAACTAGAGTGTCAGAGACTTCCTCTGGTTCTTACCTTTAGTTTGGCACCCTTAAAAATGTCAAAAGGCTTTTAAGGAATTTCAGGGGCGTCTGTTAAGGGGGTCAACCAAACTGGTTCCACTAAACCAAGTGGATAAAATAATCTTGCCTCATATTTACTCTACTGGGTTTAGTGAAACCAGCTGACATGACTTGGTTGGGTAAATTCAACACTTCAGTTTTATAGAGCACATAAACATCTTTCATATTGAGGTTAATTTTCTAACGAGGAACTACGAGTTAAATTATAAAGTAAAGAAGCAAAAGTATCAATTTTAGGTTTTAAATGTAACAAAAATAAAAGTAAAAGTAATGATTTAAAAAATACTTTGTAAAACTATATATCCTCAAAAAAATTACTTAAGTACTGTAAGGAAGTAAATGTACTTAGTTACTATAAACCTCTGCATAAATCCTAACACACGACACTTCCTTTGGTTGGCTCTGAAAACTGATGTACAGTTTTTATCTGCAGAGACTGAAACGCTGACTTCATGCTAATGCTGTAAGCTAATTACATTTTACAATAAACACATAATTTATCATTTTCATTTTTGTGAAGATGATTATTATTTCTTAGATTTTTATTTTTATMTTCTTAGCTCCAGGTGTGCTCTCACCTTGCGGTTGGAGTAGCAGGGGCAGCGCTGCCCCCTACAGGTTAACACTGAGGGGTTCTGTGTAGCTCGGCCACACTTGCAGCCCTTTTTCTCCACAGTTTTTTTATAGAGAGGCTTTGAGGGGCTGGGCGGGTGTGTGAGGGGGTGAGCGTGGGGGTGCGGGTGAGGGGGTATTCTGTCACGGGGCTGGGCACGAGGCTTGGGGGCCCCCTGCCTGGCCTTTGTGTAAGCTTTCTTGTTGGCCCCGTGGTGCTCCAGAGTCTTTTTCAGGGCCTTGTTGGGGATCAGCACAGTCTTGTCCGCCTTAGGGGGGCCGCCGTTCGGGACCGGCACGAGGTGGGGGTAAGGTGTGGCTGCGGAGAACTTGGGCTCGTGTTTGGTGGCGACGGTGGCGGGGTTCAGGTGGTAGGGGGCGCAGACGGCACTGGCGGTGGGCCCTCGTAAAATGCTGGAAATGGGGAGGGGCTGCACCTTCTCACTGTCGCTTTCCGAGCGGGAGCGCTTGCGGTGGGAGCGCGGGGGGACGTGGGGGACGGCTACGGCGGGCCGAGGGAGGTGCTGCGTGTGAGGCTGGAGGAGACGGTGGCTGTTCTCGTGGATGAGGTGGGAGGAGTGGAGGCCCGGGGGTCCGTTGAGGTTCAACTGAGGTCCAGAGGGGTGGTGGTCGGGCTGGGGGGTGGGCTCAGGTATGGATTCGGGGTCCGTGTCCGTCTCTAGAGTTCTGAGCACCTCCTCCACACTCAACAACAACGGCCCCCCGCCGTGCTTCAGCTCGTCTCCGAAGGCGCTGATGTCACAAAGCCCCGCCCCCCCGCTGCTCGTGATGCTCACGCACACCGGCATRTCCTCCGAGAAGCTCTCCTGTTTGGCAACGCCTCCGCCTGCCTCTACGGTGACGGGCTGCAGCAGGTCAGAGCTGAGCAGACCGTTACAATCATGGAGTCCGTTAACGGTCGCCGCGCTCCGCTCCTCACGCTTCACCTCCCTGGGCGGAGCCTCGTCGGACAGAAGCGCCTCTGAGGTGGAGGCGTTCTGAGACGGCGCGACCGAGTCAGGAGCGGCCTCTGGCTCCAGCTCGTTCTCGGCTAACGTGAGGCCTTCGCTGAGGATCGCCTGCAGGTCCCGCGAGTCGCCGGCGGCGCTGGCTATGTGCGGCGCCAGCGGCGACTGGGTGATGTAGAGGCAGAGCTTCCTGTAACAGTGGACGAGCAACGAGAGCTGCTTGTTCTCCTCAAAGCGGCTGTAGTCCTTGCACCAGCTGCAGGACGGCTTCAGCTGCATCCTCTGACCCTTACAGCTTCGACACACGTAGTGCTGACATGACGAGTTGGTGGGAGCGATGGGATCCTGCAACAGGTCGCCTGAGGAAAGACAAAAATGTAAACAAACTGCACATGCTAACAGGAGCAGCATGCTAACAGGAGCAGCATGCAACAGCCGGGAKAGGGTTCGTGCYGTTTAAACCAAGTTAAATTTAAGKCCTTTAAATGCCATGTGAAATTACATTTAAGACCAATTTTATAATAAACACAAATGACAAAAATAAAAACTGGCAGAAACTCATGAATCAAAGTATTTTTGGTTGAAGTATTCAAATATTGCTAWTAGACCAATTGTTTTTATCCATATCTAACTATAGCAGAAACATTCTTAASAGTCAGTTTTAAACTGAATTTAATTTCTGGAAATCCTCTKACAACCCKAAAATTTGGAGTTTTAGGACCCACAGTGGGGTCTTAACCCCACTTTGCTGTAGATGAAACCTTTAAGTGCCTGTGACATCAAATGTTTGTAAGAAAAGTGAACACGTTTTTGAGATATTTGCATGTGAAATAACAGGAAGTGATGTCAAAGGGGAATATTTGTGAATGTGAATTTAAATGTGAGTTTAAACATGTGAATGTTTAAAAAAATAAATGTTACCAATTATTTTAATATTTGAGGTGAATTACAATCATATTATTGAKAATATGTTAAAATTTTAAAGACTTCTGAAAGATTTATTTAAGACATTTTAAGGTTAATTAAGGACTTATTTTTGGATAGATGAATTCAACGATGTTTAAGACTTTTTAAGGATCTGCAGGAACCCTGCTGGAGTGTCGTTCTGTTTTCACAGGGCCAAACGCACCAACAGATGCATCAAAATCAAATCCTTATCAAGCTCATTTTGTCACCGTAGAAATGATGAAATATTATTCACAGATTACTGCCTTCCTGTTTGGCTGTGTTTTGACTGCTTCCTAAAGTAGTATCTCGTTGTAAATCTGAGTGGTGCTTGGCAGCTTGCCCGCCTGAATGACAGTATCTCTTTGAGAGGAGCTTCCTTAGCAACGCTGGCTTTTAAAGAGCACAGCTGCAGATGGAAAAAAAAGGGATGAAAGTCCATTCATTCATAAACAACCAACCCCCCACACGCAGAGAAGCCCGCCTTAAACATCCCACGAAACGACAGAAAGTCTATATTTAACAAAAAGCTTGCTTTGCTTTTATATTTCTGTATAATTGATAAAGCAGAGATGGGGGTCATCTGTCCATGTAAAACAAGCTGCTCTTCTACAGCACTGTGCGAAAGTCCTGAGCCGTCCCCGACTTGTCTTCTGTCCTGTCTACTCTACTTCTTTCAGTCGTCACAGTGGGTCGTCCCCCTCCATCCCTGCTTGTCTTTTTCCTGGCAGCTGCATCTCCAACATCCTTCTACCAATATACCCACTGTCCCTCCTCTGGACATGTCCAAACCTCTGATGATCTCATTCCTAATCTTATCCATTCTTGTCACGCTCAAGGAGAACCTCAACATCCTCAGCTGAGACACTTCCAGTTACAGTACGTCTCCTGTCTGTCACGGTCTCCAAACCATACAGCAAAGCTGGTCTCACATAACTAAGTCAAGTCAACATATACCAGACAAAAAAAAAAAAAACAGAACCCAGTTGTATACAGTAGCTTACTACATAAACACAATTTGTTTCAATTTATACTGTTTAATTAAAAAATACCAAAGAAAACACAGTGTCAGACAATTATAAAGCCAACAAGTAGATCCTCAAAGTGCTACTAGATACCCCCCCACCCCACACGCATGCACGCACGCACACACACACACACACACACACACACACACACACACACACCATGTTGTTACCCTAAGCTTCCCTTCCCAATCTCCAGTTTTATCAAAAAACCCTCCCCCCCCCCCCCCCACACACCCCACCCATGACTCCTGCAGGCTCTCGGGTGAAAGTGAAAGTGAAACCTAACTTTCTGCTGAGCTCTCAACATTAGTTCTCACTCAGTGAAGCTCTTTTCAGATTAAAAATACCTTTGAGGAAATATATTTTCAGATGCCAAGTAAACTGCATCGTGAAGCATGCTCAATCNCACACACACACACACACACACACACACACACACACACACACACACACACACACACACACACACACACACACACACACAGTCTTTTAAACTGGTTCAAAATTGTAGTTAAAAAAAAATCAATTCTTGGCAACTCTGTCACTTAACAATTTTTAAGTGGCTGTTAAAGGTATGTTGTTTTTGTGCCCTAAACATAACTTGTATAACTTGAGACAAATTTGATAGTCAAGGACTTTTGAAGCATACTATAAATAATTCAATACATTTCTACAAAATATTAAACATACCAAAATAATATTAGTTTTAATACATTTAGATTTATTTGATCGACTTGTAAAATGTCTCGGGTGTATTCCCTGTTAGCTTCACCTCAATCAGTTTTATTTGTAGTCAAATATTTTCTCTAATGAATTTGAGGACAAAGATTTTATGCTGTAGACCAGGGGTCCTCAAGATATTTGGGTCTGGGGACCCCTTACAAGGGTGAAAATATTCCAAGGACCCCCCTCATGAACCCCATGCTGTTTTAAAAGATAATTTCTTGTCATTTCAACCCCTAAATGCCATGGGAATATATGTTTTTATTAAGTTGTTCGTTTTATTAGTTCACTGTTCTCCATGCATTTAAAAAATAAAAACCACATTAACAATTTAGTATTTTTTTTATTTTTTTGAGGACCCTCCCCCAAGAAAAAAAAAAGACAGTTTGAGAGTCTCTGCTGTAGACAACAGGGCTGTTTCTGAATGTAAACAGCAGCAGATGCTGCCTACAGACATGGGGGTGTGTCACGAGGGGTGTAGCTGTATATTGTGGTGCCTTCACTACACCTCGGAAATTATAGTCTTCTAAGTTAAAACACGATATATGGACGGAAGTTCCTTTTTTCGTAAAGCTGCACAGTAGTTTAAATCTTTGAGTTTTCTTTGCACTGCAGATAATTGTTTAGGTCTCATAATAATCCAAGCTCACATTTCTTCTATTAAAGGTAATGGATGGACTGATGTCCACGTTTTTGTGTTGACAATTTGATCATCATTAAACACAGATTTTTCATTTAGATTTTTTTTTATATCAGTACACTTAGATATTCAGAGTCAACTAAACCACAATATTCACTTCAATAAATAAATAATCAAAATAGCATATTTCATTTACTAAATGAAACGGGAATGATGTGTTTTATTTTGCCTGAAAATGCAATAAATCTGCTTTACAATGTTGTTATCAATGTTGATCGCTTTAGCTATCTCCGACCGTACCTGAAGGCAACATAACTTAAAGGCTCGCCTTCTCTTTTAATACCCCCTCCACCCCACCCCCTAAAAGGGGGGGGGGGGGGAATCCTTTAATGCAATGTAATAAGGTAAAAATCAAGCAGTAATATTTCTTACCGCAGACCAGGCAGGACAGGGACTGTCGGAAGAAGGGCAGCAGCTTGCAGAGCTCCGCCAGGGCCCGGGGGTCTCGGGGGTCGCACTGCAGCACGGAACGGCTCACGGACACGTAAAGAGACGTCGCATTCACCGGGTTCATCTCAGCTGGCTGTCCGGGCCTCCTGTACGGTCCGCTCCGTCAAAACGATGTGTCAGGACTTGTAAAGTCACCCCCCACAAACAGAGGAGTAAAAAAAAAACCCCACTGAGACAGAGATAAAACTGTGAGGTAAAATATGTCAGGGGGAGTCCGGTGGCTCTGGAGAGAGCATAGATGAATATGATAACCTCAGTGTTGTGTCAGTAAACCCRACATTATTAAGAGTCTGAGCGCAAACAGATCCAGGTTCCACATCCCGGGTCAGTCACATCCAACCCATCCCCGACCATGTCTGAGATCAGGTTTTACAAACGTTCACAAGTGCCTCGATCGTGCATTTAAATCTCGATTTGTCCACATCAGCTCGGTTTGTTTCCATAACACGTGAAATATAAAGAGACAAAGCCCGGCCGGTGTGGAGCCTCTTTCCGCTGCTTTCAGCCGGTTAACTCGCAGCAGCCTGAAATTCACACGGAGACCTCGGTGACGAAGAGCTCCGGCTTGCAGAGACAAACCCAAGTCCCACAGCCATGCTCGTCCCGGTCCAGAGCAGGTATCACAGAATGCAATTAAATATCCCACTCCAGGGCAGCGGGGGCTCCGGTTTCAGTGCAGCCCCAGCAGGCTCTGTTATTGTTCGGCTGGAAAACAAACCAGGCCGCCCCCAGCTTGTTCTTTAAAATTAGAAAAACCAACAGCTATAGGTACATAAGATGGGAGACGGTCGAAAGCTGATTTTTCTGCTGTTAAAACACCAAAAAGGGGAAAAAAAAATAATTTAAATCCCCGTTGGCTCTGTCGGTGAAAGAAAACAAGCCAGATAAAGCACCGGGCTCTCCTGAAAGAGCTCGCCGCTTGAGCTGCACCGGGAAGCCGGCTACAAAAGAAGGCCGCTTCCCACTTCACAGGATAAGCCGGAGTCCTTGGAGCTCAAGGGCAATGATGCGGAAAACAGAAGAAATACGTCCTCCCTCAGCTTTCTAGAACTCCAGGGTGCTGGTGAAGACCAAAGATTTGAATATTTCCTCTGTTTGTGTTCGTTGCTATCATTAGCCGCGGCGTATTCCTCAAACCTCCGGCTGCTTCTCTACATGCACACAAGAGGGCGCTGTGTGTTGACAAGATCTCGCGATAATCCTTAAATGTCGCGAGAACACACTGAACACTTCTACATTACACAAGTAAACCCAAATTTAACGTTTTATAGGTAGTTTTAAAATTAATGTTGGATAAAAAATTGTAGTTTAAAAACGCATTGCATAAATAATGGCAATGTTTCAAATAAATCTTCCATTTATGCATGTGTGTTTCATTAATTTTAAAATGAAAGAAAAAAACTATTTTATTTCGAGCTGTATGTTTGATCCAACCAAAAACTGGCATGTTTTCTGTTCACAAACAAAGGTTGAGTATTACAGTAATCTTTGTAACCATTAATAATTAGTACATTATTGTTATTATTTATATTTTTAACTACAACAGAATACCACTGCTGCGACACATGTATCACCACTACAAAAATATAAATAATATATTTTTTCGTTTCATAAATTTTTATTCATTTCATTAAAAAAACAGAATTTTATACACAATAAAAAATACAACCACAACGTAATGAAGGGAAGCAGAGAGAAGAACACAATCTTATAATATCTGCCCTCTTTTACCTCAAGTATAAATTCAAACAACAATAATCCTCAGTTAACAAAACAAAACAAGAACATCAAATCATTCTAGAACAACAAATTACTGTATATGGTTACACATTATACTGTTTCATATTTTTCAACAATCCCACCTTTATCATTCTCTTGAACATGCACTTTGATTTGGCACTTTTCACATCATTTTCCAGAACATTCCACAGTCTGACTCCTTGGATTGAGGTGCACTATTCTTTCAAACATGCTCTAATTTTAGGTTTCATGAACAACTCTGTCCCCTTAAGATTATAATAGTTCACTCTCTTTGCAAAGTTTTAAGATAAGATAAGTAAGATAAGATAAGATAAGATAAGATAAGATAAGATAAGATAAGATAAGATAAGATAAGATAAGATAAGATAAGATAAGATAAGATAAGATAAGATAAGATAAGATAAAACTTTATTGATCCCACCGTGGGGAAATTTGCACATTACTGCAGCTCAATACAGGAGAGGGTGAGAAGAATAAAGAAAGAAAAATAAAAGAAAACAAATAAAAAACCCACAATATACACATGTGATATATAGTAATATACATGTACCAATGCACATACACATAAACACATATGCATATACTTTTATATGCATATATACACTGTATAGTACAGTGCAAAAATGAATGGATGGATTTTCTGGATGTTAATATTATAGGATTATAATATAATAATTATATATATATATATATATATATATATATATATATATGCATGACGATTAGGGGTGCGGCAATTGGGTACGGCAAGCTGCCCCTAGACCCTTCTCAAAGCAGGTGCACCTGGACAACGGCATCTCCTCCAAGGCCATGAGCATCATGAACTCGTTCATCAACATCTTCAAGCGCATCGCCTCCAAGGCGTCCCACCTGGCCCACTACTGTAAGAGGTCCACCATCACCTCCAGGGAGATCCAGACCGATGTCCGCCTGCTGCTGCCAGGAGAGCTGGCCAAGCACACCATGTCCAAGGGTACCAAAGCATCACCAAGTACACCAGCTCCYAGTAAACCACTGCTGCAGTGATTCAAACCAACGGCTCTTTTAAGAGCCACCCACCCTAACGAAGAGATTATTRGTCATTGTTTTATCTAATACATGCTGAATAAACTGTAGCAATGAATCAGCACTTTAATCAGCACCACACTTCCTAAAGAGCTCCTCCTCTGTGTTTATTTATGTCGGTATTAGCTGAGATATGTGTTTTATATTGTATGCATTTTATTTTTATATTCACATACATTASATTAATCCARGTTTTTATTAAGAAATCATCAATTMTTGCRAGATTGGGTGGGTTTCTGCATTTTTTCTTTTAACACTTGGACTGTAAAAACAGCTTTTCCACAACATTTGGATCATTAATAAATTGGATTGATCATTATAAACACCACATCTGATTCAATACAGTTGTGGAAAATCAATTCAACAATACTTTATTGAAGGGATTTTTAGGTGAATGGCATATGCATTCATTCATTCATTCATTCATTCATTCATTCATTCATTCATTCATTCATTCATTCATTCATTCATTCATTCATTCATATTCAAGAGAAATTATAAGGAGTATATAAATAAGGTTTACAAAAATGAATTTGATAAAATGCTGTGTTAATTCTAAACTGTGTGTTAATGTTGATTGATGACAGAGTAAATTGTAACTGGTTTAACAGTTTGTATGAAGTTTTGGATAAGCTATTGCTTCTTCCTGTTCCCTTTTCAAACATGAGTTATGTTTTACATTATATTTTGTTGGAAATTTTATGTTGTAATTAATGCCTTATTTTGTTTGTTGTGTTTTTCTCCTGTATTTGTTACATGTATGCATATGTATGTTTCATTTTACTGTTTTATTATTGTTTTTTTTTTTATTGTTCAAAATAAAAGAAATGTGTCAATGCAATACACATCACTGCACATATTTTAACATTGTAGTGTACAATATATGATTGATGCATCTCAATGCAGGTACAAAAATCAAAACGTAAAAAAACCAACAACCTCTGGATAGGTTCTTTAATGAAACAGTTCATCTCTCCTCCATGAGACTTCAGTCTAAACCAGGGCTGTTAAACTAAATTCCTCCAGGAGCCACAGTTACTGCAGAACAGCTCAGGGGCCGTCATTATGTGAATAAACCAAGTATTACAAAGATCCGTTACCTTTGAAAGTTTATTTTGCTGCATAAGAATAAAACAAAAATAATACCTCTTGTTTAACAAATATTTTAACATCTGTCTTGACAAATTTTTTAATTTTTATTTTCGCTTTCATTCTTAATTGTTTGTAATTTTAACTGTCTTGAATGTGCATAGAAATTGTTTTTACCAGCTTCTGGTCAAGATTCCGACAAACACGTCTATGGTTATGTGTTTGTGAGATGAAACAATCGGCGGCCCAAAATGGGCGGCCAATTGAATAGCCCTGAACTAGGAGCTCCTCCATTAAGTTTCCTTAAACTTTAAAATAATTCTGCTGTAATCTGTGTTTCGTGTCTGCACTGTGATAGTCTGTTGAGACTGTTTTGCATAGAAAATCGGCAAATTCTTATTTCTAATGTCAAATTCTGATTCGAACTAGTGTTCTATTTAGAGTTGGGCGGATCMATACTATCGATACCAACGCTGGTATTGATAGTGAACAATACTTGTGTGATTGCCACATTTCTATTTTCAAATAAAAACAAAAAAGTGGAAAGTATGACACTGTCGACTTTTCAAAAGTAACCCCCCTGCCCCCCCAAAAAAGACACTTCAAGATAATTATATGCAACTCATACAATCTAGTGACGGACTTCTTTTTATTGGTTCCTCTTTTGTTTGTCTGCTGCTGACAAGATGAAATTAGCCCCTTATTGTTGGCTTCTGTGTTTTATTTTTATCCTTCATCCTGCACTTCTCTGCACATCCAAAATACTGATTGTTTTGACAGGAARGTCTTGCAAATATTATTTTTCATGCATTTTGCACATTTCATTTCTATGAGTAATTCTTCTTTAAAGACAGTCAAAGCGTCTCACGCCGCTATGACTGTTTTTTCCTTTAGTCAATAATAGTAACAAAGTGWCCAAAAATACTCCTCAGGTCATTCTTTGAGTTTTGTCTGAGTGTTCTGAGCAGGACAGGACYTTTGGGTGATTCCCCTTCTGTTCGTCAGGCTTTGAAAAACGTTTATCTGTTACAGTCATGTTTTCTGGATTAGTTCGTCAGGTGCGGATCAGAATGTTGCAGTATTTCATGTAATATATATTTGAAAATGATAGCATGAAAACCAACCACAGTAATGTTATTTTTATAAAACCCTAACTGGAAGAAAAACAATAATAATTACTCAGAAAATGCGRTACTTTCTTCTAAAACAGGGTGTCAAACTCAGTTACACATGGGGGACAAAATTCTAAACTTGGTCCAAGCCGAGGGGCAATTTTTATTAAAAAGTTACAACAAATTATTCTTAATCAAAATTCAATTCAATTCAAAAATACTTTATTGATCCCAGAGGTAAATTAGATAAATTAGTTTGTATAGAGACACAAAGTATCTTTTCAAATTTATTTTTATYTTTTAGAACAGATAAAGAAAAACTATTACATTTAAAAAGACTCATAATTAAAGTTAATTTATTATGCCTTACAACCTCTTACAAATGCTTTCATTTATTATTTCTTAAAGATACATTTTATCATAATCCAGCAAATCAGGTCAAAAAAGAGAAAATGCTCACTAAAAATACAATTATTTGACTTTAAAATAAGAAAAAAATACATAAAAAGATAACTAAAGTCAACTTTCTTTTCATTTCACACAAATTCAAAGATCACTGAAAATTTCAAGCCCAAGTTTGAAAATTGTTCAGCTGTCATGAGAAGACTGCATTAAATACGGCAAACAAACAAAAAAATCTTAATTTGTTAAAGTTGCAGCCAAGCATTGAGGACTAATAATTACTGTTCATATGTTATTTTAAAAAAAAAGAAACAAGAAAGTTTTATATTCAACCTCTTTCTGCAACCTGAACAGAAATCTGCCAAACTGATTTGTTTTGGTTTTCTCCAAATATCCAGTAATGTTTGAGACAACGCTGACAGATCAAACTTTTCTTTACAGTAAAACTTGTAAAATTTATAACATTTTATTGATTCATTTGCTCATTTCCAACCTGATTGATTAACTCGAGGTTCAACTAATATTTCAGTTGCTAACACCCATCTGACAAACAGAAATGACTATTCTGAAAGAGAAAGACAGCTAATGGTAAATAAAAAAATAAATAAAATGATACTTCTTAGATACAGATCCTAAACATACTTTATATGGAAACAACAAAAAAGCTCAGTGATCTTCAGCTTGTGAGTCTGTGTCCTGTCATAGCTGCAGTAGTAATTTCCACTGCGGACACGTTACATGACAGTGACCACTTCCCTTTTTTGTTGAAGGCATCACAAGTATAAAAGATCCTCCCTTCCTCCTTTATTCATCAGACTCTGAAAAGTTGATTCCGAGGTCGTTTTAAGTTCTGCTTGAAGATGTGGTCGACCCTTCCATCCAGTCGGTGGGTTTTCCTGCTCAGCCTGGCTGCTGTGCTGCTCTGCTCAGAAGGTAAAAAACATATTAATGCACTTTATATAATCCTTTTCTCTTATAATATGAATTACAAAATGAGACTTAAAAGATTAACAATGTCAAGCAAAAATATGTTTTACTCACTGCCAGAAAAATGAATGTGGCGCTAAAATTAACAGCAAAATTAGCTGCTTTTTTATTAGATGTTGATTGGTTATTARTAATGAAAACAAGTCACCTTTATTTAATTTGGATAATAGCTGGAGTCTGGTTCTGATCTGTAAAATGTTGCCARATAGTTTTCAACATCTAGTATAAAAAAATGCAAACATCTGGCAACTGCAAAACTGAAAGGTTGTAAGAATAACGTCTCAGAGGAGGTGTGCATGGCAACAGATGGAGAAATAAAATGCAAAGGGTTGCTCTCTTTTTTTTTCAAGACATGTGATGTAATCGTGATGGATGACTGTATTTTTCTCCTTCCTTTCTGTGGGTGCAGGCCAGTCGTTCATAGTGTTGCCCTGCTGCCGGAGAGTCTTTAACGAAACGCGAGGAAAAATCACAAAGTGCTACGAACAGCTGCCACGGTGGCGCTGCAACATCCACGCCTATGTGTAAGCAGCAGCAGTTAAAACTACTTTGTCCAAGGTTCCCATCCACCACTGACGCTTAACCTGGTTTTTGTTATCTAAATTAAAAAAAATCACCATTTACCCAGAAATAGCAAAAAAGCAGTCAAGAGAAAGAACACTTTAATAATCTTGTCTTGTGTTTGTAGAATCAAAAAGCAGAACGGCACCAAAGTGTGCATCGATCCAAACTCCAACTGGATCAAAGACAAGCTGAAGAAGGTGAGCACCGATCGTCTAAAACTCTCCAGAGTTAGTCAGTTTACTCAGCAAACAAAAMAAAGTGTATTTAAGTGTTTGAATGCATGAAGTGTAATTTACAACCTCATCGCTGTGTCGGAAATATGCAGATCTGGAGCTTTAATGTGCTTAAAGTTTACAAATCTGCTCTTTTAAAGTGAAGTCCCGTGGAACAATCAGTATKTTACCTGTTGAACATYGATTTTTAAGCCACTTTYYTTTGGAGGATGTGGGTTCAATGCTGACCAGACTGATGAGCTAAAGGCTAGTCTGAGCAGGGTTTGAAACCAAAAATAGATATCTTAAATTGATGAAACAACTCCTGGGCTGGCTGTGACTCAGAGGGGAAATACAGTCATTTGCCAAGTTGAAGGTTTAATCCCTGATGTCTGCTCCACTTGTCAGCATGTCCTTGAGCAAGGCACTTAACCCTTTGTTGTCCCTGATCTGGACATTAGTGGGTATTTTAACAATATAACATCCACTCAGATTTTTTAAATATATTTTATTAACCTTGACATCACTGTCAGAGTTACTCGAGCTGCAAGTTTCCCAGATGTGCTACAGCTAGCTGCT